CAAAGCCATGCAGGTTACACAGGATTGGTCACCAGAGTGTGGGCAGCACCATCCTATGTGCTGGGTCCTGAACTGAATAAAAAGGGGAAAAGAAGAGGTCTGGCATTCCCTAATCTTTGCTTCTTACCCACGGAGAAGTGAACATGGCAGCTTCACACACTTGCTTCCAAGGTCACTGCAGCACCTGCTGCCATGCCTCACCTGCCATGATATATTGTAGCCACAAACTGTGAATTAAAAACCAAACCAAACCAAAGAAATTTCCTCTCTTAAGTTGCCTCTTGTTGGGCATTTGATCATAAGATACTCAGCTTCCATATGGACATATGAATTTTACTATATAATGTTAAGTGAGAAAAGCCAGGGACACTGAGCAGACTCACTCACACCAAGGTCAAGGTCAAGCACAGTGGTGGAGAACAAAATAGTAGTTACCTCTATGTGTGCATGTGTGAATTTGTGTGAATTCTGCTACTACCCTGGAGGCTTTCAAGAGTGATACTCAGAACCACATGGCAAGACTCAACTGCCTTTGAGTCCCACTGCAGAGGCCTTTTCTTGCTTGCCTGCTTGCTTGCTTTTTAGGGGTATATGTTACATTGAATGCAATGTAGTGAATCATCTCTTTTGTTTGTTTTGGTTCTTGAGACAGAGTCTCACTATGTAGCCCTGGCTGTCTTGGAACTCACCTTGCAGAATAGGCAGGCTGGCCTTGAGCTCACAGCAATCAGCCTGCCTCTGCTCCTCCAGCACTGGGATTAAAAATGAACACTACTGGGGCTAGAGAGATGGCTCTGGGGTTAAGAGCACCGACTGTTTTTCAGAGGACCCAGGTTCAATTCCCAACACCCACATGGCAGCTCACAACTGTCTTTAAACTCCAGTTTTAGGGATCTGGCACCCTCACACAGACATACATGCAGGCAAAAAAAAAAAAAAAAAAAAAAAAAAAGCACTACTACACTGGCCTGAATCACTTTGTTTTGAGAGAGGTTCTTGTTTTATAGCCCTGGACAACCTGGTACTCTCTATGACTCCCAGACAGACCTTAAACTCAAAGCAATCCTGTTTCAGTCCCTCAAGAGTACCACAATACTTATTTGAAATACTAGGCATGCTATGTAAGTTCTCTGCCACTGAGCACTTACTGAGCACTGAGCACTGAGCCTCAATGAATCAACCCTAAATACACAGTTTAATGAATGTTTGTATCCTAGGCCTCTGAAAAGGGAATCCAAAGGTATGAGATGCAAATCTGGCTGGGTGGGTTTTATAATCAGATAGGGAAGTAGTTCAGCATGATGAAATAATATGTTCTCACCTATTCAGTTGTGGCTAGGAGTTGGATGGGTACCCACTCTCTGCTAGGTACTGAGTTAGGTGGGGAAATGCAGTAGTAACTCTGCCCAAGTTCTGCCCTAGAGGTGCCGAGGCTAGTGTAATTTTAATCCGCTTCAGTGTTTGATGTGGGATGCCCTTCTGTATCCTGTGAATAGTCCTTATTAGCATTGGTTAATAAGGGAGCTGTTTTGGCCTATGGCAGGGCAGAATACAGCTAGGCAGGAAATCCAAGCAGAGAGAGAGGGAGAAAGAAGGCAGAGTCAGGGAGACACCAGCAGCTGCCAGAGAAGCAAGATGTGAGGTAACTAGCCACAAGCATCGTGGTAAATATAGAGTAATAGAAATGGGTTAATTTAAGTTGTAAGAGCTTAATAATAAGCCTGAGCTAATAGGCCAAATAGTGTAAAAAATATTATGCCTCAGAGTAGTTATTTGGGAACTGGTAGGCAGAAAAGAAACCTCCAGTTACAAATGTTGTTCAATTTCATTCCTTGCATGTCTGACTGACACTGTTCTAGTTCTGGTCTCATCTTCTGTACTCTCTGGTCTTTTATAATAATTTCCTGATGGGTCCCCTTTCTAAGCTTCTGCTTGGCATTCATTTCCCAGACCAAAGGTCCCCATGTAAGTGCCTAGCCAAAAGATCCACAATTGCACTGGGACATGGTTCAGTGGTGGGACACTTACATAGCATGTTTAAGGGCCTGGGTACTACCCAGTTTCATACACTCCATTGTCCAGACGACTGTGGTGCCAGATGTGAACTCTCACTTACAAAGACTTACTTATCATCATAGGCCAGGTCTTAGTTGCCCGGATACCAGTGGGCCTCGTCTTTCATATAGCCATGAGAATATAGTACACATTGCCAGCAACACACCTGCCTTCTCAGGAGGCCAACCTTGCACCACTCTCATTCTCCCAATGCCTCCTCCACCAGTGGGCATTTGAATCTCTGTAACACCCTAGTGACACCAGGCTTCTGCTTGTTTACACAGGCTGTTCTGGAGGTCCTGAGCCCACTGCCCTGCTGTGGTAGTCTGGAATTTCTTTCCTTTTCCTTCTCTAGGTTGAGTCTTACTGTTGAAGATATGCCTTTTCCGGGAACCCCCACCCTGGGGCTACCTATGGAGTCAGGGGTTTTCTAGGCAGAGCTCCACAACTTCCCAGTGGAAGGTGTCTGTTTCCCTCCTGTTTCCACGAGTCTCCATTTGCTTGAGGTCCAGCTCTTGTCAGGCTACCAACCTCAGGATCTCTGAATCACTCTTCTTCATATCCACAGCTGAGACTTCAGTGGTGTATGGCAAGACTGGACAGAATACACTTAGCATTTTCCTTCCTTCCTTTCTTCCTGCCTTCCTTCCTCCCTCCCTTCCTTCCTTCCTCCCTTCCTTCTTTGTTTTGTTTGTTTGTTTTGCTTTTCAAGACAGGGTTTCTCTTTGAAGTCCTGGCTGTTCTGGAACTTGCTCTGTAGACCAAGCTGGCCTCAAACTCACAAAGATCCACCAGCCTCTGCCTTCAGAGTGCTAGGATTAAAGGAGTGCACCACCCCTGGTTCAGCATTTTCTTAATAGGGTAGCCTTGTTTGGCCTCAAGATATGGATAGAAACTTAAAATACTTTTTGAAAAATGTAATTTATAATTCATTTTATGTATCGCATACATGTGGCTGCACATATACATGTGGAGATCAGAGGACAACTTGCAGGAGTTTGTTCTCACCTTCCACTGTGTGGCTTCAGGGGACCAAGCTCAATCCATCAGGCTTGGCACCAAGAGCCTTTACACACTGTGTCATCTCCCTGGCCTGTCTTTCAAGAGCCTTTACACACTGTGCTGTCTCACTGGCCTACGTCTTTCTTTTTAAACAAGTTGTGCATGCACATAGAACAAAACCCAAAAGGAGCAAAAGGGTTTTATAATGAAAATTAAAAGTAGGTCACTTCCCAATAACCCAGTTCTTCTCCCCAGAGGCCATCATTAGTATCACTTTCTGAGTGTTCTGTGCAGACAAGAGCTGTCAGGCTCCTTTTACTTATTCCCCTTTATTTCTGGAAAAATTTAAACCAACAAGAAGTTTGCAAGAATAGTGCAGTAAACACCCTTTGTCAAAATTCATCAATTAATGATTGACCATATTATGTGAGCTATTTTGCAAGCAATTTTATCACTTAATGCTTGAAAACCCATACATTCATGTCAGTTTTGTACATCTGGTCAGTCAGGCGCCAGCCAGGGTAAAGGACTTGCCCACAGCTGGATCAGAGCTGGGCTTTCCCCTCAGGGTGCAGGAAGACTTTGATCTGGGTTCCTTCATTCTTGACTCTTTGTGCAGGAAAGCTTTTTTTTTTTTTTTTTTTTTTTTTTTCTCAAAGTGGAAATACACCTCCCCTGGGTAGTCACCAGATGATCAGTGGAAAAGTACACAGCTCTGAAGGCATCTCTCTCCTAAAACCTCCTCATGACCTGAGCTCAGCTGCGCTTAATGCTGGTACCACCTGCTCCAATATCACCTTCGCCATAAAAAAATGAGTTAGCTCAGCCTCTGCTAAAAACTCAGGCTGACTCCTAGCTGCCAGTTGGCTGAGCCTGGAATCTCCGGCCTATGTGATCCCTCCCAACTCCTCCTGAGAAATGTCTCACTAATGTCTAGGCTGACCTCAAACTCGCCATCCTCCTAGATCTGCCTCCAGAGTCCTGGGGCCACATACTCCTTTCTTGTCGTCTCCCCACCCCCGCCCTCCACTACCTGCATATCTTGGGAACATTTCCGAATGCTCTCTGCTTACTTAGATCCATCTTACTGCTGCTGGAAGCAGTCTCCTAAGGAGCAGGGTTGTCCCCCTCCACCCATTCTGCACTCCTCTGTTCTTTCCTATGCAAGTGGCCTTTCGCCTGGAAGTCTGGGCAACAGTGGCCTGGAGTAATAGTTTGGGCCCCTTCCTGGCAAAGTGACCTTGCATAAGCTATTCTCAGTGTCTGAGCCTTTGTAATGAAGGAACCTAATTCCGTATCCAGCAGAATTGCGCTCACTTATCTCCCATAATAGAATTAATAGCTCCTCAGGGCTGCTGACATCTAATCATCTCGGAAACACTAATGTATTATTCCTTAACTGTTCCGCGCACCTCCGTTTCCTCCCGTAAAACAGGAATGATCATGGAAAGGTTGAGGAACTTTAATGAGCTAAAACATGAGGAGCGCTTGAAACAGTTCCTAGCCCTAATATTGCTATCTGGGTCGACCGGAGACCTCGCACAAAGTAGGGATGCAGGCTGGGCGCGGCAGAAGGCCGCAGCAAAGAGGCTACGAGGGAGGCAGGGGCCCTCGGAGAGACCACGGAGATCCGCGGCGCCCTTCCGGGAGCAGCCCAGCCCAGCGCCGCAGCTGTCAGGCCGCGGGCGGCAGCGCCAGTCCACCAAACCTGAAAGTTCCATCCCAGCGCCTCCACCTTCCCAGCCTGGACAAGTTACCTTGCGCCCGCTGGTCCCGGTCCCGCCCCCGCCATCCATTGGCCGACGGGTTTCTTTGTTAGCAGGAGCGTGCGGGCGCCATTGGCCCGCGGGGCTGCCGGTTGCGGCGCCCCTCCCCGCCCCGCCCCGAGTGTGCGCGGCGCCGCGCTCGGTTCGTTCGCGGTGACGGCGGGCGCCCGGTGAGCGCGACGGCTGGACTTGCCGGCCGGCGCCTTGGGGGCGGCCGCGGTGGAGGCAGCGGCCCGAGGCCGCGTCCGTCCATGGGCCCGCAGCGGCCGGGCGGCGGGGCGGGGCGCGAGGCGGCGCGCGCGCTCTGAGGCCGCGGCAAGCAGGCGGGGCGCGGCGTGAGCGGGGAGGCCTTTCCGGGCCTGCGGCGGCCAGCGCAAAATGCGGCGGCGGCCGCGCTGAGTCCCGACCTCCGGGAGCGCGCTGGGCTGAAGTGGCCCGCGCTGCGGCCGCCTAGGCGACATGTCGGCGGCCAAGGAAAACCCGTGCAGGAAATTTCAGGCCAACATCTTCAACAAGAGCAAGTGTCAGAACTGCTTCAAGCCCCGCGAGTCGCATCTGCTCAACGATGAGGACCTGACACAGGTGAGCTGCTGCGGGGTGCGGAGCTGGTAGTCAGGCGAGGAGCGCGGCGGAGCCTGAGAAGGCCAAGAGAAAATAAAAATGGAGCAGGAAAAAAAATGCGTGAGAGTTGGGGGATGGGGTTGGAATGGGGGCGGGAAGAGTATCGATAGAGCCGGGACAAAGGGAAAATCCTCAAGTATGCCGAAAAATAACATCCTTTCCCGTTCCCATAGCTCTGCCGTGTGATTCATGCTTTTTGGGTGACTCAAAAAAAAAAAAAAAAAAAAAAAAAAAAAAAAAAGAAAAAGAAAAGAAAGAAAGAAAGAAAGAAAAAGGGAAAAAAAAATGTCTGGTTGCCCTGGATAGGAACAAAGTGGAGCTTGCTTGCCGCTTGTCAGGACTCTCCTACCCACCCCAGACTCTTGTCTTGGGGCTGGACTCAGACGTGGCCACCAGACTATCCCAGGAATTGGCTTGTCTGTGGCCACCAGCTTCCATCTTGTGGAACAGAGCTTGCCCTCTTCCTAAAGTCACTGTCACCATCAGGCCTCGCAGAGAGGTGGGGTGTCTCCAAGTGGGGAAGGGTGGGCCTTGCTCTTGAACTGAAGGTAGGGATGGCTATTGTTGAGGGTTAGGAGCTTTCCTTCCCGATTCTGCTCTGTGGCTCCCGGGTCCAAGAAGACTTGTGCATTGTGGGGAAAGTTGATTCCCTCCTCTTTCTGTCCTTATCTGTTGGTCGGGATTTTGGATCAGGTTAGTAGCTCTTCCTAACCCGCCTCAAAGTCACCGATCCCCGAGTAATGTAGGAGTAATGTAGGAGATGGGGAATTTGTGTTGGTACAGGGTCCTCAGTTTGGGCCACAGGCCCTCTTGGCCCTTGGGAAGTGGTTACTCTCAGGCTTCTGGTGTTGAAGATTCCTAGGCATATTTGCACCACTTTGGGAAGGACCGGTGCATCCTGCTTACCTTTGCCCCTACTCCTCTGTAGTTAACTCTCCGCACCTGCTTGCCCCCTGCTTGCTGAATGCCAATGAAGTTCCCCATGCATTCCAGCCCAGTGCCACCTAGTTGTAGCCACTCCTTTTTGGAAAGAGCTGTTTAGACTGAAAACATTGCTTTGATTTGGCTGTTTTTGGTGCCTTTACTGGCAAGCAAGGTTTGACCTGTTTTATGGGGCAAACCAGAGTGGGGTGGTAGGGCAGAGGTTGTGGCAACTTTCTGTGAGGTCAGATTTCTAATAGCCAGGAAGTAATCAGGAAGCTTAACCAGATTCTCCAGGTCTCAGTCATTGATCTGTGAGGGTCTTAGAGACCTGTCTACTTGGGAAGGGCAGAATCCTGAATAGAGAGAAATGGTGATTTCCTTTTCTCATTTGAACTCTGTTCTGGGAAGCAGTTTATGGGATTTATGAGGTGACTGCTTTTAGTCTTGGCTGTGACTTTCTGAGGTCTGACCTTGAATGAGTCTCTTTAACTCTGTGTGTTTTAATTTCCTTATCTGTAAACTGGTAATAGTGGTTACTGGCTTACTTCTCCCATGGTGCTATTATGAAAACCAAGAAATATATTTTACTGTACTTTTCCTCTTAAAATTTAACAAACATGGAACAGCCAACTTTGATTTAAGAAGTTTTTGGGCTTGGCAAAGGCTGTTTTGAGAGAGGTTTTAAGCATCCACACAAACCGGGGATCAGATGTTTATGCTGCATGGGGTCTTTTTCTGATTCTTAAGTGTAGATGAATGAGTGGGATTTAAATGTTTGAGTCTAAAATATTAACAATAAAAATCTGTTGATTATTAATTAAACTCAAGGGATGAGGCAAGTTGAGAGTATTGAACTCTTTGGCTGTTTTCAAAGTGGCATTGTAATGTTTGGAACAGGTCTGAGACCTCCAGGGCACAATTCGAATAGTAGTTCCTAAAATAATGAGTGGGCTTGCTTGTGTGGGGAGAAATTAGCCCAGCCTTCTACCTCCTGGGATCTTTCAGGAAGAAACTGCACTTGAGAGGAGAGCAGGGAGGCTCTTGCCAACAGCAGTTGTCAAAGCTCTCTGTATCCGGTTCTCCCAGAGCCTTTTGCTCTCCTTATGGTTCCGTTGGAAAACCTCAGCCAATTGGTTCCTGTCAACCTCCCCCAGTCCCCTGCTTCCTGCTGCCCCTCCCACCCAGAGCTTATTTTAGACTGTCCAAGCTGGAAGAGACATCAGCCATCATCAAAGCCACCCCCTCTGTAATAGTTGAGGATGTGAGTCTAGGGAGGCGGGGACAGCTTCTGCCCTCAAGGATGTCATCTTCCCAGGAGCACACATTCCTTTGAGCCTTCTGATTTAAGCTTTATTTCCTCAGCTGTTGGTTTTGTTTATTTGTTTTCCCCTAGAGAGGTAGGGAACTTCTTCCAGGCCTGCCTGTGTTGTGGTATCAGACCTAGGAAGCATTTGGAGGTCAGTTAAACTAGCCACTTCTTTCACTGCAGAAAAGCCTGAAACTCAGAAGGAAAAGATTTACAGGAACATAGCATGGATTCCTAAGTGCCTTCTCTGTCCCCTTCTCTTAAGGCTACAGCAGCCACCTCATGAGCACATCGGGACAATTTAGTTTCAGAAAGTGCCTTAACAGTGTTGTTTGGGGCCAAAGAGTCCTGCTTTCCCTGCCCTGGAATTCAGACTGATCTGTGATAAGTTAACCACAGTAATTGTGTTGTTTGTCACCCAGATGATGCTGTGCTTGCTCAGCCCCTATTCCTAGGGTGACATTTTCAATCCCTTTGTGCATTTCTCCGCATATAGATGGACTGAAGTATCATTTTTTTAAACCTTTAAAATTTATCATTTATGTGACATGGGCACCCACTGGCCACGGTGCACCACCTGTCAGTCAGTTCTCTCCCCATGTCATGTGGTTCTGGGGGATAGACACAGGTCATTAGGCTTGGCAACAAGTGTGTCTACCTGTTGAGCCATCTCATCTGCCCTCATTCTATCTTTTTAAGTCTGAGCTTTGTGTTTGTATTTGCTTTGCAGTGTACTTCTTTCTGCTTGACAAAGTTTAGAACTCTTTTTCATGTTGTTACATCTAAAAACTTAAAATTGTTTTCCATATGGGCCCATTTGGGTTGTAGTATAATTTAACCCATTCCCTCAATGATGTACAACCAAGGCTACTGATGAGTTTTGCTGTTATAAATAGTGAATATAGGGTTGGTAACATGGCTCAGCAGGTAAGAGTGCTTGCTATGCAAGCCCAAGCTGATAACCTGAGTTCTTTCTCCTGAACCCACATAAAGGTAGAAGGAGAAATCAAGTCCACAGAGTTGTTCTCTGACTTACATGTATCTTGTGGAATGCATATGCCCCGCACATTTCATATATACATTTATGCATGCATACAACACTAATTTTTTTAACAATTAAATGTCCTCTTAAAAGATTTATTTTTATTAAACTTTATATGCAGGAGCTGTATATACACATGACTGTGTGTGTGCATGCCCAATGTGTATACACACACACACGCACACACACACACACACACACACACACACACGCGCGCGCGCGCGCGCGCGCGCGTGCATGCACGTATCCATGTCATTATGTGAGGATGTGGCCATGTAAGCCAAAGGTGTTGAATCCCCTGGAGCTGGTGTTACAGACAGTTGTCAGCTGTCTGATGTGGGTGCTGGGAACTGAACTCTGGACCTCTGGAAGAACAACAAATGCTCTTAACCACTGAGCCACCTCTCCAGCCCAGTTGTGTCAGTCTAGCTAACAGCTTCATAGTGCTTTTGGTTGGGTTTGTTCGTGCAGGAATGCAAATGTTTCTCTGGGGTAGATACCTAAAAATAGAATGGTTGGGTTGACATCAAGTTCACTAAATTTCCAAAACAATGTCATAACATTTTTAGAAATGGATATTACCAAATGATTTAATTCTTTAATGAATTCCCTGTTGCTATTTAAGTTAAACCCTTTTAAAGATTTATTTTTATTATTTTTAATTGCATGTATGTATGTGTGTCTGTCTGTGTGTGGATAATGTGAGTACAGGTTTGATGAAATCTTACATAGCCCAAGCTGCCCTTGGACTTGCAGCATATCTTCTGCTGATCTGATCCTCCCATTGCCACCTCCAAAATACCAGGAATAAACACAGGTCTATAACACCATAATGGCCCTTTTTTTTTTTTTTTTTTTTGTCATATTTACTGAGTTATTTTGTTTTTCCTGTAGATTGTTTGCCTTGCTGTGCTTGCTCAGTTTTCCATTAGGTCCCCTTCCCCTGATGATTTGTAGTTTTTTGTATATGTTTTTGGTTGGGGTGTGCAAATTTTGTATAAAGGGCCTAATAGTAAACATTTTAGCCTTTGTGGGCCATATAGACTCTGAAAATTATGTAACTGTTATGGTACATAATGAGCTATAGATAATACATGGAGTGTAATGGATGTGGTTGTGTTCCAGCAAGACTTCATTAGCAAAATCAGGCAGCTGGCAGGATTGACCTGGGAGCTATATTTGGCCCCCACCCCCATTAATATATGGTGGGTATTCTTTCCAAGTGTCACTTGTCTCTTTATGTGTGGCTATTTTTTATAAAGTAGTTTTAAAATGAACACAGTTGGGACTGGGGCTGTAGCTCATGATAGAACACATGCTGCATGTTTTAAGTCCCTGGGTTTAATCCCCAGAACCAATATAATAAAGTACAGTGAATGCAGTTCAATCTGTTTTCCTTTATTATTTGTAATTTTAAAACTACACTTACTTAGTACATATGCATGGGTATGTGTGTGTAAGTCAGAGATCTCTCCTTCCACTGTGCAGGTCCTAGAGGTTCAGTTTAGGCATCAGACTCATTGGCAAGCACCTCTACCCACTCACTGGGTCATCTCTTTGGCCCTCATTTAATATCATGTAAAAAGGCCTTCTTTTCAATAATCTCTAATATTATTAGTTGGTTTACAGTTATTTTTATGCTTACCTTTTTCAAATTTATCAGACTTGTTTTTAGGAAAATCACAAAAC